TAAATATACAACATTCGTTCGCGGTCCATTCGTCCTTGTAATTAGAGCTCGTGCATCGCGTCCGCGCTACGTAAATACAACACACGGGGGACCTATCTACCCTGGGTAATTTATTCGCTATGCTACTTCACCTTATTATTGTATTAAGCGTACCTACGCCACCGGCTGTGGCAGCAAGTTAATTACGAGAGCTGTTAACTCGAAGAAGTCGTTACTCGACTGTTACCATCTATGTACGATACACACAACTATATATATAGATGTGTGTCCTGTACACGTGAGACATTTTACTATATCTTCTCTATATACTCTCCTTTTCTCTACCTGTTGACCACAATTTACTTTCTAACTTTCTATTGTTTTGTTAAATTTTATAATTTTATTTTTATATCTAAATTTATGCTTCAATTAGAGAAATTAATTTTCTTTTTTTTCTATTTAAATTAAAAAGTTATCAGTTGTAGAGAATTTTTTTTCTGATAAGAGTTTTTTTTAGTTCTAAAAAATTGCTATTATATTAAGAGATTACGCTACTAAATAGAATTGTTTTCTATTATTAAAATCCTTTTATTTACTAAATATTTTAAGTTATTCTTTTATTATTCTTGCATTTCTTGAAAAAAGGAATTTATGTTTTTTAGGGTTTCGTGGCACTTAAAAATTCTTTTTGATTATGATTCTTAGATGAATAAAAAACATTTCTCAATAGTTTTTGAAATTAGTTTACGTTCCCGATTTCTCTGAAATTTTTTGCAAGAAGAGACCTTTAATTATCGCTCTATAAAAACGACACTAAACGTGAAAATGATAAACATTGATTTTAAAATACTTTCTTCTCGAAAGACGGACACTTTTTACAAAAGCAGCTAGATATCGTTAACTTATATAAATTTCCTAAATCCGAAAGATTATGCGAATCCATACAAAAACACGATTGCAAAACGAAAAGTAATATAATGACAGGTTCTTTACCTCCCGCCGCCGTCAGATGGCAGCAGCATGCAGGGCGCACAAAGTCGCAGCTGTTATTAGATTACTTTTCTACTTTTTGTTTTGCAACCATGTTTTTCTATGGATTCGTACAGTATTTTGGATTTAGGAAATTTATAAGATGAGGATTTTGGCTGATTTTGTTAAAAGTACCGTTCGACACTCTTAATGCATAAATATAAAAACGAAACAAGAAAATAACTTCATTGTTAATAAATTTATATAAACCCATATCTAAAACATCTATTATCTATACGCATATAAGTAAACATTAAATAAATTCTGGTTCCTCCTAAAATACTATTTTTAAATATTTAAAACTCAATTTGTTTTAAATTGGGCACGTAAGCTGATTTTCAAACCTATTGAGAAAAGTTTTTTATTCATCTTAGAACCATAATCAAAAAGAATTTTTAAGTGTCAATTCATTTTTATTTAAACCTTCTTCTGGCGCATCGTGTAGGGGAGAGCGGGGCAAAGCCGCTGATGTAACATTTATTTATAAATATTTTTGTTATTACACCTTCAATTGACGTGATTTTTTTTTCTATTTCATCTAAAACTAATTAATAACGAATTTCAATAGTAATTATTTAATTTATTATAAGCTTGATTAATTAATTTAATTATTTTCAAAGAGATGCAAAAAAACGGCTTTGCCCCGTATGGCGGGGCAGCGACGTTTTTGCTTATATTTTTTGAAAGTAGAAAATTATAGCCGTTAAAACTGTACGAAGTTGCAGTAAATGACCTAATATCTTTGAAACATAAGTATTTTATACATTTTTTAAAGAGTTTTAAGTTATTTTATAAAAAATATCAATACTTGTATTTTTAACCTCACATTTTGAATTCAACTCTTCACTTTTTCGTTGAAAAGTCTACTTTATCGACTGATCAAATTCAAAAATAATTTAAATAACGGCGCGAAAATATTATGAAATATTATATTTACATAAAATTTATCATTTTTTTAATGTTAATAATAAATTTGAATACTAATAAATTAATTTATGTTCTAAATGAAATATTCTTTTTAAAATTATACTATTTTAATATATTATATAATAAACACAGATTTTTTACATAAAAATAACTAATGTCCTTTATTTTATTTGATTTTGTGAAATAATGTAACATAATAATATAGCTAATATAAGATAATAATAATAAAAAATAATTACATTGAAATATGTAATTTTTGAAAATAAATAAAAATAATTATTTAATATTATTTTATTTAATATTAATTTATTAATTTTAATTTATGTTTTGGTTAAAAAATCAGGTTAATATTTGTTGACACTTGATTCATGTGAAGTTAGAAAAACTTCAAATATGAAGGTAATGCAGATTTTCATTTTCAACTGTTTTTACGAAACAGTTTTTAAACGGCTTTGCCCCCAGTGCCATACATTTTTTATTTTTAAAATTCAATTTATTTAAACAAAAAATAAAACCTAAATTTCATGCAGATCGTGTAGATAAATGTTTCATTTATTCAAGCAAAAAGTTTTTAAGACCTAAGTGCTTAAAGCAATTTTTTAAATTTGAATCTTCGATCAACGAAATTTTCATCTCTTTCTTGCAAAACCTATAATTATGTTATATTTCCTAATATATTTAATATTTTTTAGTTTTTTCTTTTCCAATCTATTGCTTTAATCGTATTAACAATAAACTGTTAACGAAAATGGTAATAGATTAGAAAGAAAGAAGATATTTCGAAAAACGCCTTTGCCCCGCATAGCGGCTTTGCCCCGCTCTCCCCTATAGTTTATTGTTTTGGCGTCCGTCTGTCCGTCGTACACCTATACGGTTGCCATGGTAACAGTTTTCATAGCAACCGATTCTATAGTGACTGTTTCCATGGCAACCGTTTCCGTAGCAAACGTTTTCATAGCAACCGCTTCCATGGCAACCATTTCCAGGACAACTGTTACCATGACTATTTTTTTCCTTAGCAACGGTAATATTAATATTGGCCACGAAATCCGCCATGCGTCTTCTTCTCTCGTATTTTTTATTAAACGTTTTTTAAAGTATTTGTTTTTGAAATTTCGTTTGCTGATGTAATATTCGAATTCTCGTTTTGTTGCTTCAATATTGGGAGGGTGGGGGGGGGGGAAATTACGACCCCTTGACACGGAGAAATGCACTGCACCCCCGAGAATTTTGAGGTTTCGCCGCGTTAGGGATTCTCCAAAGTGGAAATTCAACTCCCGCAGCAGGAAACGTCCGCGCGAGAAAGAGACTATAATCAAAAGACCTCTCGACCTCAGCTTTGCTTCGACGATAAATTTAATGCTTTTTGATGATCATTTTATCAACTTGACAGCAAATGCCACTCCCCCAAATATATAATATATATATATATTTTTTTGAAAAAGCTTATTACAATTTTAAAACATTATTATTTATTCTCCAACGAAAGAATTTAAATGATTTTTTTTCGAATATCTATAATTTTTGTTATACAGACAAATATATTGAAAAAATAGTGAATAAAAATTTATTTGAATGAAATAAAATTTTTCATTTATTATTAGTGGAGGAGGAAAATGTTTGGATTTACTTCTTATGTAAAAGCCTATTTATCAGGGCCACTTATCATAGTATTATAATTATAAAATAATCTTTTGCTAGAAAACATTATTTACTGATGTTTTCCTTTCAATTGGCTTCATTCACTATCATGTCTCGATTGAATCTAAATCTTCCAGAGACAAGTGATGTAGTAAATAAATTGAGCAATAGATTCTGAGCTCTGAATAACTTGAAGTTTTATTATTTTTTCTTTTTTTTTTTTTTATCAAGAGAAAATCAATGAAAACAGTGGAAACCGTCTCCCACGCTCAATAGACTATTAATGAAGGCGCTTAGAGGTCGACCTCACTTCCTCTGATAGCGGCGTCTTAAAGTCTGCTAGGTTCAACCCAGCTGCCCGTTTATTCTCTTTCACATGTACTTTTTCTCTCTTTCATCTCTCGATAATAAATTCGTCTTTTTCACTCTCTCTTTTAACATTTTTCTCTCTCTGTCTCTGTTTACCTCTTTTTTCTCTCACTCTTCTATCTTGTCTTCGTTATTCTCGCACATCATAGGATATTAATTATGCGAGCTGATAATGAGTGCGCAACATAACGAGTCTAATTGGTTATATGAGATATGAAAGTGCGGGGGCCACAAAGATTTGTATTTTTTTTCCTTCTTTTTTTTTGCAAAAGCAAGAATGATTGCAAAATACAATCATAGAGCAGACAGGAAGTTGGTTTCATCAGCGCGCGTCTTGTTTCGATTTTCAACAAAATCTCAAATGCAACAGCAGCATCAATCCGACGGAGATGAAATGCTAATGTTGTTGGGTTTTCGAATCTTATTCCAAGGGTTTTATTTTGTGTCATAGGGGTGACGTCCACTTTTTTTTTCCTAAGAACACCCTGAAGACCTTTTCTAGATCCTCATTCTTTTGGAACGGTGACTGAATCAAGAATGAGCTATATATATGTTTTTAGAAAATAAAATCTATTTTTTTTTGTTTGTTCGTAATTCTAAATATAACAATTTTGACACAATGAGAAAAATAATATATTAGTATATTAAGAAATTTTTTATTTACTATTAGATAACAAAAAAGAAACAAAACAGTAGGAAGAACTTTCACTGTTTTATTTTTCCTATAGTTCAATTATTGTAATCGTTAAATTTATTCAGATTTTTTTTTTTTTTTTTTTGACATAATGTAGAAACAAATCGTATGTAAAGAAAATGTCGAATCATTATTGATGTTCGAGGAGAAAAGAATGAGGATGTTAAATTTTAATTTTTTATCCTTGATTCTTCTATACACATATAAATGATGATAAAATTATTCAAATTTAACATATCTCTCTTGAATCTTATTGCAATTATTCATTATCTATAATAATGCAAATTAAAAATTGTCCCTACTTTCATTATAATGCTAATGATTTCCACTAATTGTACATACTCTTATTTTTTTGTTACAGGTGAATTTGCATTCTTCCTATATATATATATAAGTTCCACAAAAGAAGAGAAAAAGTATATTGTGAGTCATTACTTTATATATTTAAGCATGAATCCTTATATTATTTGTTATAAACAATAGAAGTCTGTGTGAGAAAAATTCACACAATTTTTTTTTAAATATTCTCGTAACATTTATTTTGATGAATGAGATCCAATATATAAATATATATTAATCGAGAGTGTTTGAAATAAATTTTTTTTTTTCCCTGGGAAAGATAAGAGATGAGAGAGGAATATTATGTATCTTGTACAGATCAAGGTATACCCCGATGTACTTGGTGATCTCTCTCGAAAAGAGCAACAAATCCAGTGGCTTTATCAGCCATCAACGGGTGTAATCCAATAGGTGCTTAGCGTAAAATCCCATAATCGATAGTTTGCTTAACCCGACGTCACGTGGCGCCACGTGCGAACCTCCATTAGCTCATATATATAGGGAGGGGGTTGAAGCATGGCTAACTCAAAATATATACAGATACAATGATAGCCTCTCTTGCACTATATATACATCGCGTATATATAAGACCGTATCTCTATGTTAATATGGGAATGCAAACCCACCAGTAAACTGATGGGGGAATTCGACATACCCCGTATGTCGTATTTGGGGCGACTTTTTCCTTCTCTGATTTTCACCTACCCCCTTGCCATATTATGCAAACAAGAAACCATATACCACAAATTGATCCAAATAAAATCTGCAGAAATATGTCTATATGGGAAAATTTTATTTTATTTTTTTATTCTTTTGTTTCATTTCTCATTGTGTATTTTTCTAAATTTAAATTAGTGAAAAGTGAGCTACTAATTCACATTAATAAGAATTTTTACTAATTTTTAGTAAAATATTACTTTTTGATTTAGTAGTTTTAAAATTTTTTTACTAAAGTTTTAGTCAAAAAGTGACTATAAAAATTAGTGAAAATTCTTACAAATTTAAATTAGTAGCTCGCACTTTTCACTAATTCAGATTTAGAGTGATTATAATACAGAAATAAAATTCATAGTCAGTAATCAGGCAGTGTAGCAAAATTGAGCAAATTTCTATTTAGTCGAATTTTACTTGGATTTTCATTTTTGAGAATTTTTCTATGAATTTTTGTTTTACTTTTCTAGTAAAAATATTTATTTAGTGAAATTTATATTTATCTATATATATGCTTACATAAAATTTTTAATTTAATTCAGTAATCTCTAAATATGAATTAGTAAAAATCTTAACTAATTTGAATTAGTAACTCGCATTGTTTGCTTTTGAATTAGTAAAATTTAACTAATTAATAGTCAAGAAAATTTTTTTTTAATATCGAATTAGTAAAATTTAACTAATTCAAAAGCAAAAGTGAGTCTCTAATTCAAATTAGTTAAAATTTTTTACTAATTTAGAGAGTAAAATCAAAAGTAAATTGAAAATTGTTAATTGAAAATACTACATTATGATATTTAGCTATAATTCGACGTTATAAATTTTTATACGCTGAAGATTTCAGACTATTCTCTAAATTTAAATTTTTGTTAAAAATAACTAGTTTGTTAGCAAAAAGTCAGTTACTGATTCAATTAGTAATATTTCTACTAATCTTTTAGTTGAAAATAACTAATTAGTATATTAAACTCAATCTCTAAATCTGAATAAGTCACTTTTTACTAATTCAATTGCGTCGATTCGTTCATTAAATGAATTAGTAACTATTTTAACTAATTTTTAGTAAAAAAAATCACTAATTGTTAGTAAAAAACTGCGAATTCATTTAGTAAATCTACTATTTAAATTAGTAAACTTTAATAAATAAATTAGTACTTGCTAAATTTTAATTAGTACTCTCTAAATTTTAATTAGTAAATATTTTAACTAATTTGAATTAGCGACTCACTTTTTGCTTTTGAATTAGTTAAATTTTACTAATTTTGAAAGCAAAAAGTGAGTTACTAATTCAAATTAGTACAAATTTTTACTGATTCAGATTTAGAGAGTAATTTTCTACTATCAATTAGTCATTTTTGACTAATAATTAGTCAAAATGGTTATTAATTAATTTAATGAACGAATTGACTCACTTGAATTCTGTGAATTTTTTCAGTTATTTTTACATTGAAAATTAGTTACTTTTTACTAATAATGACTTATTTTTTACTAATTGCGATCAAATAAAAAGTCAGCCAAGATTTTACTAACAATGTATTTTTAACTAAATTCAGATTTAAAGATTATAAAGTAAAAATAACTGCTGCTAAGTATTAAAAATAAAATTACAAAATTTTGTCTTTAAAAAAAAAAAACTATAAATCATTTTTAAATACAATCTTTGTTTATTTTGATATATAGTTTAATATAGATTCAGTTGAATCTTTTTCTTTTACATATAACCATCTATATAAAATGACTCATGTGTTAATCCTTATCTGGGAAAGTTTAAAGGAGTAAAAAGTATCCCCATATATAGTTTATACAAGGGTAGATTATGACGTATATACTTAATAGTCCATGGCTAATTGTAGAACCTGAAAAACAATTTTTACGGCGATTAGAATTAGAGCGAATGTATATATATATATATATATATATATATATATATACATATAAGAAAGACTCGTTCCCATGACGCAGGAAACGAGCCGAAGGTAATCAAGTGTGCAGACAATTCGACGTGGTTACTCAAAATCACTAAATGATTTGGGAACCACCTACAGTCTAAATACACAATTTCCCATTAAATTACTTCTCATTTTATTACAAATTATCCATACACATAAATATCAATCAATCTCGTAGTTTTTTTTCTTTTTTATTCCCACATATATGCTTTTTATATATATTATCAATACATAACGAAATATTTCACGGAAATTATATATAAATGAAGCTAAATTTCACATATAACTGATTTAATTTTATAAAAACAATTTTTTTCAATTTGAATGAAAATTTAAAAAAAATTAATTAAGAAATCTAATTTTTTAAACAATTTTAAAATTACTGAAAATAATTATAATAATTTTCTAAATTTGTTTACAATTGTATAAATAATAATAAGTACCTAAAAGTTGGTATGATTGTACATTAACTTGTTATTTAATTAATTAAGATAAAAATAGTGTTCATTTCAGTTTGCAATTACAGATTAAATTTGGTCTAAACAAAACGTAAAATTTCTTTTTTTTTTTATCTGCGATAATAATTAACCGACGAATTTTATTTAGCTTCATTTATAATTGCAAATTTTTTATGAATTACCGAAAAGAAGTTTATCATTCGGTTTATGATTTGTTGCTAAAATTAGAGCATGTTGGATAATTTGACATTTTGATATAACATATATAATTTGAATTATGGAGATTATTATAAGTGGGAAATATTGCGTCACAAATGAGACTGTAATAAAGGAAAAGATATATATACAGAAATAAAGAGGGAAAAGTTATAGAAGTAGCAAATATATGAAAGAAGAATATATATTAAAAAGACGAATAATAAGAAGAAGGAAGAAGAAGGAGACTGCCGCAGAGATAAGACCTTTGAATATAGCCGCAAGGTCAGTTTGGAACTGACCCCAGCATCCTGCCTTGGCTGAATTCGAGTTTAATGAATAACTATTGAATCCCGCCTATCGCTATGCCCAATAAGAACAAAAACGATTTGCCCGCGATGCTTATGTGTGACCGGGAAAGGAAATCACGCGTTTCGCGATTGTCTATTTATATAATAAGAAATAGTGGCGTGGGTGTTTTAAAATAAGTGACGTTCAATGGAGAATCTATTCAACCGCGGCCTCCAAGATACTATGCAAGCTTGTAAATAGTGTTTAGTGCAATTCACGTAAGTAAAACAATAGAAATTATTTACCTGGAGAGAATTGATTGATTTTAATCACGCGCGCGCATGAAATCCCATTTTCTATTTAGCAATTATATTTCGCTAATGTATGATTTTTTTTAAAAAAGTTTTATGTACTATATACTCTCTAAATTTGAATCAGCGGAATCTCGCTGATTCTCAGCTATAAGTATACCACTGATTCCAATCAGCGTATATGCACTGATGAATTAGTGGAATTTCACTGATTTTTCAGCGTATATCCGCTGATTGGTAACAGTGGTATACTTATCGCTGATTCAAATTTAGAGAGTAGTGTTTAATAAAGGGGCGATTATTAAAAAACATTAAAAATTTTAAATATGTTTACGTTTATATTATTTTAGGTTTTTACAATTTTATCTTTCTTTGGAAATTTTTTTGTTTCTTTTGTTCCTTACTCTCTAAATTTGAATCAGCGATAAGTATACCACTGGTACCAATCAGCGGATATACGCTGAAAAATCAGTGAAATTCCACTAATTCCACTATCAGCTTATATGCACTGATGAATTAGTGGAATTTCACTGATCTTTCAGCGTATATCCGCTGATTGGTACCAATGGTATACTTATCGCTGATTCAAATTTAGAGAGTAGATAGTTTTGTTTTTAGTTACTCCTTTCTAGATAAAAATTTCTGATTGTAATAACCTACTAAATTCTAGTTAAGGTATATATATTTAACGATTTTGGTTAAGGGGAGGCACCACCCCCAATTTTGACCCGCACTTAAATTTAAATTATTAAATGAGGTTATATTTTTTTTCTTGCATCATTTGGGTCCTAAAAACATATAAGGTGGTCAAAAAAAAGAAAATTTTAATTTTTGACCATTTTAGAATTTTTATTTTTTGAAAAAATGAATATTTTTGAAAATCCATGCGAGAGATTCTGTCAAATCATTAAAAAAGTGTGGAAAAAATTTGACGATGAAAAATACTTAAAATTTTGAAAGAAGATACATATTTAATAGGAGAGTGCAATGATGTTTTCACTTATATTTTTCGCTCTTTTTTTGAAAAAAATTAAAATTTTTGAAAATCCATGCGAGAGATTCTTAAGAATTATTAAAAAAAAGCGTGGAAAAAAATTGTCGATGAAAAATAGTCAAAATTGTAAAAAAAATGGAACCTCGTTTAATAATGTAAATTCAAGTGGGTCAAA